TTCCCATATTTCGTGCAAAGGTTCCGTTGGCATTTGCTTGAAAGCTAGAATCTCATCCCGAAGAGCCGCCATATGACTTGGAGAAAAGAACTTGGCAATAAATTTGTCCGCCAATTCATCCCATGTGGTGATAGAATGATTGGGGAGCCTTTCTAACCAATCCAACGCTTTACCCCGAAGAGAAAACGGGAAAAGCCTCAATCTCAACGCATCCTCTGACACGTTTGTTTGCTTGCTGCCCCAGCATGTATCTACGAACCCCTTCAAGTGCTTGTATGCATTTTGATCGGAGGCGCCCGTAAAATATCCTCGTTGCTCGAGCAAGGTCAACATGATATTTGTGATTTGAAAGTTCCCCGCCCGGATTCGGGGAGGAACAATGGCACTCGCATACCCTTGATTTGGGAGAACTCTTGGGACTGCTCTTGGCGGTGGCGGAGGAGGGTCTGGAATAGGATTGTTGTCATTGACCTGACGACCTCTACGTGGAGCTTGAGGTACGGGAACCTCATCATGATCAATATCTTCTACCTCCTCCTCCGCCATGGCATTACCAATAGGGTCATTAGCATTCAAAGCCATAGTACCTGAATGATCGACACAAACAAAATTAGTAAACAAGAAGGAAAGAGAAGCAAAACACAAAACGAACTAAACAGATAGTCAACACCGTAAGGTCCCCGGCAACGGTGCCAAAAAGTTGATCGCTGCCAACTCGACACTACACCAAGGTAGGAAGAGCGGGTCACAATAGCTTTTACCCGAATAGTGGTCGGGATCGATTTCCACAGGGAGCTAGTAGTGGAGTTGGATTTTCTGTCTAGTCTAGAGATGTGTTTGTGCTCCTAATGTCACTTCAAACGTTCTTGGTTTTTGATTTTTATAACTACTATGATAAAACTACTGATTAACGCTAAATTATGCTACTAGAATATTGCTAAGTTGTATCTAATGGGAAGAAGGGCACTAGGGTCGTGGCATTACCCAGGTGGCTAATTGACGGGTAGATGTTACTAAGGATAGATTGACATATTTGGGGCTTATGCTATAACCGTTGCACAATTGTACCCACTCTCACACCTCTCGGTAGAGAGAGTGATTTTGCGAGTGATTTTTCCCAATTGACTCTCTCGAGACCAATTGGGTAGGCCAATTAGATTAAGCAACTAGGGTTCAAGTAGGGTGATTACTCTCTCGAGATTTAACCCGTTAATTGGGACTATTATTTCTCATGAGTCCATCCCAATTTCTTGTTGGGTCAATTTTGGGGTCATAGACTCTCTTTCTTAAGAAGACTCAAACCCACAAAGCTTGAATCAGTGTTTGCAACCACAAATTCTTAAATAAAAACATAAAATCAACCCAAATAGCAAACACCCATAATCAATCTAACCCTAGATGGCAACACCCATCAATTACCCACACTAGGGTTGAGCCACAACCCTAGCTAATGGGTTCGGCTACTCATGCTAGATACAGAAATTGAAGAAATAGATGAAGAACTAATCATATTAATTAATTACTAAGAAGAAACTACAATAATCTATCGTTAATGAAGAGCAAAAGTGCCGAAAATGGCTACAAAATCGAGTCTCACGAGCGCAGCTATGTCTGGGATATAAAACTTGACCTAAAAATGGTAAAATATCCTATTTATACTAGGCTGGAAAAACTGGACAAAAATACCCCTGCGGGGTCAGTGCGGGCCGCGTAAAACGGACCGCGGCCGCACTGGCTCTTGGACTTCATTTTATGCTTCTCTGAACTTGAGGACCGCGGACCGCGTGAAAGTGTACCGCGGCCGCGGTGGAAGTTGGCCCGGCCGCACAAAAACGAGTGCGAGCCGCATTGCTTGGAATTGGCAAAATGTGAGCTCTCTGAATCTCTGCTCCGCGGACCGCGTAAAAGAGTAGCGCGGCCGCGGAGACTGACTGCGGACCGCACAAAAGAGTAGCGCGGCCGCGTTGCCTCCAGCTTGAAAATGCCAACTCTCTGAACCTCCTAGTGCGGTCGCCTTCACATTTGCGCGGTCCGCACTAGGTTCTCTTTTCCTCAATTTACTTAGTGTTTGACACTTGAGCAGGTTTCACTCCTTTTTGAGCCGATCTTTGACATTCGTCGCTTTGTCGATCAAACCTGCAATCAAGTACAACTTGTGAGAATTTTGGGACTATTTTGTAGCAATTTATAACCAAAGCATAGGCAAGTAGGAGCATAAAATATGTTAAAATCCCGACTTATCAGTGCCCCCGGTATTTGATCAACACGCGAGTTGTATGTTTCCACTTTCTTGTCATTATCTTCGATTTTTTTCTCTCCCGACTCGACTTTTTTTGTGAGCTCCTTGAGCATCTTCATAATTGCAGGATCAGTCCTTGATCCATTACCGTTCGACCTTTCTGGCACCGGCTCAGTACGGCGAGTGATTTCTGGTTCGACCACACTCAGAGTTTTATGTTAACTTTGAAGCTGAGCGATAGCAACCTGCTGAGCCTGTAGCATCTCGAATATTACCTGGAGGCTAACTCTCCCGTCTCTTACACCTTGTGTTCCTTGGCCACCAGAACGGCCTTCCTTACGTACACTCCCTTCGGTCTGCGCCTAAATCCGCATTCAAAGCAATGTGCGAACTCATATCTACTGGATCGATAGCAATTACATTATCGTTTTCCCCGTGGAATCCAAGACTATCATCACCATGTGCGGGTGCGTTTTGGGAGTTTGGCATGTTTTAACCTGAGAACAAAAATTCTTGACAAGAACAAGTGTGAAAATAACGTGTGTTATCAGAATCAGTACCGAAACAATCACTATTATCCTTAGCCCCACGGTTGGCGCCAAACTGTTTACCCTGAAATTCGAGTACCAATTAAACTTGTATTGTAGTTTTAAAGATATGTGATTTAATCCAATACTATATGATAAACAAGATATAAATTAAAGAGTAAAGTAAATCAAACCTGTGTGCAACCCAAGTCTTGACCTCGAGTTAATGTGACCTCGAGGTAGGTTAGTAAGAACAATGAAATAACAAGGCAATTCTGATGAACAGTAAGCAAGAAAATGAGAAAATGTATATTCCTTTGTTAATGAATCCTCTATAACAAATGATTGGGATCCCCTTTATATAATAGGGTAATACTAATAAGATACACTTCTAATTATAATAGGGAATCTTATTATACAGCTGTCTAACCACCAAGTACAAATCCGTTACGGAATTTACGCCGGGATCTTCAGGCCGTTGCGGGAATCTCGCTCTTTCTGTTAATAAACCATAACGATATTATCTCGAGGTTGGTCATACTCGGCCTTGGCCTTCATCGAGCACTTCGGTCTTCAAGTGCTATACTTCGCCATCGAGCTCGAACCAGGTCCGTTTTGAGCTTTCTCTCGAAGCAACTTCCCGAGCCTACGAAATCAGACATACCTAATTTCGACCATATACATATATCTTGTATTCATTTGCTCTATGCTAATATCTACAGGGAGTAATTACCTTTTTCGGTTTACTTATTCTCAGCGAACATCAGGGCTCCAACATAATTATTCCCTAATGAGCCATATCTTGCAAATTAAGTGGAAGGAGAGAAACTATATTATCACTATTGCCTTAGACTACTTTTCTAATTCAAAAAGTTAAATATAAGTCAAAATATTTGAGATTTACCTGTAATAGGCCTTAAGTTACCTGAATGTGTAAAAATGATTCCTACCAGAAATTCGCCAAAAATCGAGCAAAAAAACCGATCAAAGTTTGTCGGTTATGGCCAATTACCGACCAAAACGACCATTTACGTGTGGATGATATTTTAACGGTCGGATAAGAATACCGATCAAAGTTGGTCGGAAATTACCGACCAACATTGGTCGGTCAATTAAATTCAAAAAAAAAATTTGCAAAAAAAATCGACCAAAGTTGGTTGGTATTTTAATTATGTAATCAAAAGATTCACCATCTGGTGATCGAACTGGGGTGTGTACTGTGGCAGGATACTATTCTACCACTAGACCATTGGTGCATTTTGTTTTAAGATTATCATTTTTTTATTTATACTCTTTAATTGTATTTTCGCACGAAAATAACCGACCAAAATTGGTCGGTTTTTTAAAATGACCGGCCGAATTTTGGTCGGTTTTTTTAATATTAGTTTTTATTTATTTTAATTGAAAAACCGATCAAAGTTGGTCGATTTCTTGAAAAATACATTTCGCGGGACTCAAAAATAGTTTCGCATTTTTGCGCCAAATAAAACCGACCAAAGTTGGTCGGTTTCGTAAAAAAATTTAAAAAATAAAATATTTTGAAAAACCGACCAACTTTGGTCGGTTTTTTGACCGATTTTTGACCGATCAAAGTTGGTCGGTTTTTGCCAAATTTCTAACAGTGATTACACTATGGTGGATATTAGTTAAACTTTTACCAATAATATACAGGTGATCTTATACTAGTCTGTTTAGATATTATTGGAAGGCGGCTAAATCTCCTAATACAATAAAGTAAGGCGTTTTAATTTAACTTGGTAACAACAATATTTAACAAAGTCACTAAGCAAATTGTAGTTTTTAAAATTAAAATGAACCTACCTGCTTCAACTAATACCTAATCTTTCTCCTTTCTTTTTCCTTTCAGTTACTATTCTGGTCATTTTCAATTGTATCCAAACAGTTATCTGGCATTAGATTCTATGAAACTTTTTCTGAATTTCTTAAAAGCTCTTTAAAAAGAATACGATTGTTTAAATTTTGTTCAATGAGTGGTTTTCTGGATAAAGGTATTGTAGGGTATTTATTTATGAAAAAAAATCTTCTTCTACTCACAAATCTTCCAAAGACAACAATTTACACATTTTTGCTCTGTACACAGATATTATTCTCCAAAATTATTTTAAAAAACATATTATCCAATTTGGATAGGAAAAGTAGGACAAATTAAGATACGAACTTATTCATGCAAACAAATTGTCTAGTAAACACTAGTTATTGATAAGTAATTTATTCTACTCCAAATAATCGTGGAAATATATTTGTTTCATATGTTGCCCAGAAGAATATGACATGACTGTTGACATTGCCAAGTAGACAACAAGAACAATTCCAGTAGTGAAAATCTCAGATTGATTCCAAATAAAAGGCGGAGGAGATGATTTGACACAATCTTTTTCTACTCCCAAAATGAATATATCATTAAGCATTACAATAACAAGGACCATAAATGGTGGAAAGTCAAACTTCCAGATTAGAGCCAAAAGCGTAAAACCAAGCACATTACGGATTGTAAAGGAAACAACATACACAGTGTAGTTTTTCATCCTCTCAGAGATTGATCTACTGATCAAAATAGTACGACGGATGGTTTCTAGTACAGGTCCCATGATATGAACATCAGCAGCACTAAAAGCTGCATCTGTAGCATCACAAATAGCTAGCCATCCCAATATCTGCTTTCTTTTGAATAAAATAAGAATCCACTTGTTGGTAAATAGACGTAGATTTAAGATTTATCCACACCATTTAGAGGTCTAGAAAAGGTGAAGATCCAAGCATCAATCAAGTAGCCAAAGGCTTATCAATATTACACCTCACGCTTCTAAGATTAAGGATTTTGGATACTATAATTTTTTATTTTTTTTTTTGTTGAAACAGAGAGCTTTTATTCACAAATAAACAGAACCTCTTTACAAATTCTTGCCACTGATTCCTCCTCCTCTTTTTCTATCTTTCTATGTCTTTCTTATACTCTTCTTTCATTGTTTCCTATACGATTGATCTATCTAATTCCTCTCCTTCCTATTACATTTCTTGTTTAACAGAGGTACTATTCTAGCCTTACATTTTTGCTGTATCTGTACACATATGCTTCTTGGCGTAGGTACTCTTTAATTCCACAGTGCTTCGTTTCTTGCCCACCATATCTTGTATATTAGTGATGTGATCACTGCTGTTATGAACTCCCTGCATTTCTTCCCATGAATACCTCGTATTACTCTTTTCCATATCCCTTTTAAATCATGTTTTGTTGTCCCTCTGCAACCATTCCAGCATCCTTCTTAGGCATTCCTCTGATAATTTGCACTCAAAGAAAAGGTGTTCCACTGTTTCTACTTGGTTCCCGCATATCAGGCATCCATTGTCTTGACTAATCTTCAGTTTTAGCAGTCGCTCCTTATTGAGTAACTTCCTATGCATGGCAAGCCAGCTAGTGAAGCTATGTTTAGGCACATTCATCTGACTCCATACCCCTCGATACCATGGTTGTTTCTCTGCTTCTCCTTTACACCATTGGTATCCACTCCTCACAGTATATTTGCCCCCATGTGTTAGCCATCCATTATGCACAAAACCAACAACAAATTTATCCCTAATGGCACATATTTTCTTCCAATACCAACAGCTGTGATTTGGAGGTACATATTGCCACCATGATTGATCCTTTATGTATACATGGTTGACCCATTTAACCCATAGATTGTCCTCCTTATTTGTTATGTTCCATACGTATTCACCATTGCTGCTTCATTCCAGGTTATACAATCAGTTATCCCCAAGCCCCCTTGTTGTTTTGGTCTACATACTATGTCCCAGGCTACTAATGCCATTTTGGTTGAATTCCCTTTTCCATTCCATAGAAAACTTCTGCAGATGCCTATTATGTTCCTTAATACCTTTTTTTGGAGGATGAATATAGAAGCCCAATATGAATGCACTTGCATCAACACTGAAGTCACTAGCATCACCCTACCAGTATAGGATATATTTCTTGTACTCCATGTTCTGACTTTGCTAGCCATCTTCTCTACCAACATTTCACAATCTGTTATTGATAACTTCCTAGCACATATTGGAACCCCCAAATACCTGAATGGCAATGTCCCTCTTTGATATCCTGTCAGCTCACTTATATCCTGAATGCATTTTTCCTCCATGTTCGCACTATAGATGTTTGATTTAGCTGTATTAGTGTATAGTCCTGATGCTTGTGAGAATGATTTCAGCCCCCTGAGGATCATTTCCACAGATTGCCACTCCCCCTTAAAAAAGAATAACAAATCATCCGCAAAACATAGATGGTTTAGTTTGAGCCCTCAGCATTTGGTATGAAACTGGAACCCTTTTTGTTCAGTGATTCACTTCATAATTCTAGATAAGTAGTCCATGCAAATTACAAATAGGAGGGGTGATATTTGGTCCCCTTGCCTTAGCCCTCGTTTTCCCTCAATGTCGCCATAAACTCCACCATTCACTGCTATTGTATATTGAGTAGATGTGATGCAAGCTATCACCCATTTTATGAATTTTTGAGGGAAGTTAAGAGCATGCAGCATCTCTTCCACAAATCCCCACTCCACAGTATTATATGCCTTCCTTAGGTCTACTTTAATTAGACAGCTCCTAGTCGTATTCTTCCTCTTATACAACCTCACCAGATCTTGGCATATCAATATGTTGTGTACTATATTCCTTCCTTCCACGAAAGCACTTTGATTATGAGAGATTATCCCAGGTAGTACTTTTTTAAGCATATTGCATAGCATCTTCGAGATCACTTTATATATTGTATTACAACAAGCAATTGGTCTATAGTCACCTACTGCCTCAGCATGAGTACTCTTGGGAATAAGAGTTATCACAGTGTTGTTAACAATTTTGAGCATTCTGCCTTCTCTGAAGAACTCCAGAACTCCACTCTTTACATCTGCACCCACAATATCCCAGCAATCTTTGTAAAACTGGCTTCCAAACCCAGCCGGACCTGGGGCTTTATCTCCTGCAATTGCCCATAGAGCCTCTTTCACCTCTATTTCTGTGAAGTCTGCTATCAATTCATTCCTTTGTTCCTCCTTCATTGTAGGCCCCTGTCTTATTAGCTGGATATTTACATGATCCCTTACCTTCAATTTCCTTCCTAGCATTTCCGTGTAAAATTCTATAAATGCATCTGGTATCTTTACTGGGTCATCTATGTCACACCCTTTCATGTCCTTGATATGGAAGATTTTATTATTGTTCCTTCGAGCTTTCAACAGACTATGAAAGTACTTAGTGTTTTGGTCCCCCTGTGTGAGCCACTATGCCTTAGCCCTTTGCTGCAAAAACAAGTTCCCTGCCTTTTTTCATTTGCTACACTCCTCATTTAATCTTACTTCTTCATTGATTAGTGCTTTATTTCTAGGGTCCTTCTGTACTCTGCTTTAACACTGTTGAAGGGTATCTAGTGCTTCCTCTACTCTTTTTTCAATGTTGCTGAATCTCTCCTTGTTGATTTTCTGTAGGGTGCTCTTGATCCTATGTAGTTTCCCCACCAACTGGTATATTTGTGTACCTCTCTTGCTTGTTTTCCAGCCTTCTTTTATTCTTTCTTTGAAATCCCATGCCATGATCCACATATTGAAATATTTGAAGCTTCTTCTCACCTGCTGTCCACCTCCCTCCCAATTAATTATGCCCGGGGAATGATCAATAGACCTGGTTGCATGTGGTGTACCTCTGATGCAGGCAGCTTTGTCGTCCATTCATAGTTGATAAGGACCTATCTATGATAGTTCATGTGGTTGCATGTGGTGTACCTACTTTTTGATAGTTCATAAACAGGTTCATTTCCTTCTGTTTATGTGGCTTATTCAATCCCCTAGCATTCCAGAAACCTATTTTATCCATTGGATGAGGGGTTGCCCCCATCCTGCCCTTTTCCTAGGGTCATCTCACTCCCTTTCCCTTTGTTGTTCTTGTTCCCCAACACATACCCATTTGCTGCTTCTGCTTTCTCTTGTTGATGTTCCTCTAGTGTTGCAAAGGAGTTCTCAATACTGATAGTATTCTGGTGTATTCCATCCCCTGCTCTTCCCCTTCCTGAACCTTTCCAAATTCTAGATGTAGTTGCTACCTCATTCCCAGTGTTTCCCTTGTTTATTGGCCCAATTACTTGTTGTTTTTGTCCATGTTCTCCTTTATTCTGCATATTTGCGCTCTTCTTTTCCACTTGTTGTTGCGTCTGTACTTCAATTGGCTCCTCTGGCTCATGTTTGTTTACTAGTTTCTCCTTTTCTTCTTTGATAAATCTCCTACACTCATTCATTTCATGCCCAAAATTCTTGCATTTTCCACACAGAATAGGTTTTCATTCATAGAAAACCTCATGTTCCACAATTCTGCCTCTCTCATCCTCAAACATGATGGTATCTGGGTATTTCTGATGAGGTTTAACCTCAACTAGGACTCGGGCATATGTTAGTCTCTCCTTCTGTGTAGTTGCTCGATCTGCTTTTAGTGGTTTACCTACCAGTCCTGCCAATTTTGTAAGCGCAGTTTGTCCCCAGTGTTTTATATCCAGTCCATTGAACCTAATCCACATTGGGATCAATTCAACTGATTCCTTTTTCATATCCATGTCTGGATTCCAAGGTTTTACCACAACTGGCTTTCTATCGAACATCTGGACTCCATCCTCAAATACTTTAATTCTGCTTTCAAAGCTATGGAATCTCACCATGAACACTCCTCTATTAATCTGTGCTATCTTGTCTATGCCAAGCGATCCCTATATCCTTTGAATGTACCCTTCCATAACTGCTTGTGGTGGATTGGATCCCAGTACAAAACATACAGCTGCCGAATTCCAGAATTCTATTTCCTCTTTGATATCCTCCATAGTTATTTTTACATTCAAATTGTCCTGAACTTGGGGCGTTAAGTCAAGTCCTTCAGTAATTGGATTTGCAACAATTTTGCTCCATGATTTAGGGCTCACCTCTTTATTCTCCTTTTTCTCCGTCGATTTCTCCTCATCCTCCCCTCTTTCTACCCATGATTTGCGTCCCTCTTCCTGCTTTTTTCCTCCATTTATGTTTATTGTTGTATAATTCCCTGATGCCTCACCGTCAATAGTTGATTGGCTTAGATCCAATGGCAATATCCTTGCAAGACATTGATGCTTCAAGTTCTCTTTGCATCCGCTGACTGTGGAATTCCTCTTGTCCCATTCGCATTACTCAGAATTGTTCCTCGCATGTGCGACTCTCCCCCTCTAGCCTTTGATTTCCTCGTCATTTTCAGCAATGACTGAGAAGAAATTTCATTCTAGAGAGAGAAAGTTTTTTTAATTAATATTTAAGTTTTTATTAAACTAATCTAGTATATGGATACTATAATTGAACATCAAGATTTCTCAATAAGTTTTAAATTCAATTTAACTTTACCATGCAAGTTCCAATTACTTAGGCGAGTTGATGATAACTCTAATTCTAAATATGAGTACCTTGGTATTTTTGCATGAACCAATCTTCTTAATAAATTAGAAAATACACAAAATAAGAGCCTGTTTGGATTGACTTAAAAAGTGGTTTTTAAGCACATATGCTTAAAAGTACTTTTTAAGCACACATGATTAAAAATACTTTTTAAGTGCTGAAACTTATTTTAAAAATAAGCAGTTACGTGTTTGGATAAAAATGCTAACTGAAAAAGTTGTTGAAGTATTTGGTAAACGAGTGCCGGTAATTAAACACCCTCTAAGTTCATGGTTAGTATAATTATTCAGAAAAAAATATTTTCTATTGTAAATGATTTTTATAAAGTTAACAATGAGGCAAGTATAAAGTAAGTACGTTGGGTTGTTTTATTAATTATTCCACTGTTCTAATTGATTTCATATTCTTTCTATTGATGATCAGTTTATCAAAAATAAAACTTAAAGTAACAAGATTGATTTGATTTTACATTAAAATTAAAATATCTAATAAAAAAACAAAAGCTCTATATGTTGAAAAAAGAATTGCAACACTACGATACATTATAATAACGAATCGAGAATAGAACACAAAGCGGGGATAGCTCAGTTGGGAGAGCGTCAGACTGAAGATCTGAAGGTCACGTGTTCGATCCACGTTCACCGCATCGTTCTTTTAATATTTTTTTTCCAACTCTGTAGTTTCTTTTTTCTATTTAGATATAGTTTTCGATTCAAACACAGAGACAGATCGCACAAGTGTTTGGTCCCTTATGATCTTCCTTCAGCAATCAATTCCATTTGCCCTCGTTAATAACCTACCTTTTCCTTACTCCTCTCCGACTTTTTCGTTTTTCCTTTTCATCCTTTATCCCATTAATCTTTTCTCATCTATATTTATTCTTTTAACATAAAAAGACTAGTGTTGGCTTAAAATCCTTTTATTATTATTTTTTGTTAGAACACTTGAGAAAGAGAAAAGAGGTGTGTGTTGAATGAAGAACACATCAAGAAATTCGTGGTACAATGGAGAATGGTGTTATGGTCATGAGTGCAAGATTGTCCTCCTCGTTAACGTCGACATCTAATAATAATTTTCTCTATCTTAAAAATGCCCTTCTTGCTTCTATTTTCAATTCCCAAGGCCGATTCCGACGACAAAAAATGTTCCACCAACACACCTTCGGCATTATGTTCATTGTGTATTTCTTCCTACGTGCCCTTTTTTTGGGACATGCAAAAACGTCTCCATTTCTTGAAAAAATCCTTGTCTGCCTTTGAATATTATTAGGGTTGTCTGTTTGGCTTGTCTTTGTTCTTGATTTTTCTCCCTTTTCCTTTTCTTCTTCGTCGTCTTCTCTTGTTGCTGTTTGGTTGTTCAACAGAATGATTTCCGGGGCTGGAATTGGAATTGGGGACCCTTTAGGATGTTGTACAAATAACAAAGGCGGATCTAATGGATGGACTAATGAGGCACACTACTTGCAAAATGACTACGTCGAGAAAGACCCCAATGGTCGATATGTTCGGGTAATTTATCTCTACTACCTATTGGTTATTTGTTAGTAATATTATATTATTTAATAATATACCGAGAGATTTCTGTTGGTATGCTGCGCGATGGGGTCCATCCATAGTTACTGAGGGACTTTGTTATTCTTGTTATTGAGGGACGCCCCTAAGTAATCCGCATCAGTAAAGGGGGATTTTTAGTAGTGTGATCGTGTATTATTCTAGTGATGTAAGTATTGATTTAAAATAAGATGTTACCAACAAAATAAGTCACGTGGTTTAATATTTAAATCACATGGAATGAAGTTGTCTGGAGATGTCACACATCGTATTGGAGCTGGATGGATGAAAAGGAGACTCGCTTCCGGTGTTTTGTGTGACAAGAAGGTGCCACCGAAACTTAAGGGTAAGTTCTACAGAGTGGTGGTCAGACCAACGATGTTGTATGGGGCTGAGTGTTGGCCAGTCAAGATCGCTCATGTCCAGAAGATGAAGGTAGCAGAGATGAGAATGTTGAGATGGATTTGCGGGCACACCAGGTTAGATAGGATCATCAATGAGGTTATTCGCGACAAGGTGCGTGTGGTCCCTATTGAGGACAAGATGCGGGAAGCGCGACTCCGATAGTTTGGTCATGTGAGGAGGAGGAGCACAGACGCACCGGTGAGGAGGTGTGAGAGGTTGACATTGGAGGGCCTACGGAGAGGTAGAGGTAGGCCAAAGAAGAGGTGGGGTGATGTGATTAGGCAAGACATTGTGCAGCTTCAGCTGACCGAGGACATGACCCTTGATAGGAAGATATGGAGGTTGAGGATTAGGGTAGTAGAGTAGGTAGTCTAGAGTGTTCATAATAGTAGTATTGGCACGCAATCTCGCTTTCTGTTGGTAATAGGTTTTTATGACTAACCGTTGTTTTCTTTCATTGTTGATCACCTTATTGTCTTGTTGTTTTTATTCTGCTTTTATATGGCTTTTTGGTACTGTCCCTTCTTGTCTATATTTTCATTAATATCGTGCTTATGCTTTCCTGAGCCGAGGGTCTATTGGAAACAAACTCTCTATCTTCAAAAGGTACGGGTAAAGTCTGCGTAAACACTACCCTCGCCATACCCCACAGTGTGGGATATTACTGGGTATGTTATTGTTGTTAGCTAATGATATGGTATAAGGAAAGAAAAAGATCCGTATAAGCGATATCTACTAGTTGGGAATAGATTTTGGTCTTGTTAGTATGGTGGTTTTGAAGCTACTGTTTTTCTAGGAGTATTTTGACCTTATTATAGATTTACATGCCAGTACAATTATAGAGAATTTGTAATATTGTTATTGTTATTACTATATTATATATATATTTAACATATTTTTCACTTTTATTTTATTTGGTACGATGATGACATAATATGAGCTTAAATGAAGAAACATGAACCCCGTCTTGTTTGGGACTGAGGCGAAGCTGTTGTTTAACCATTAAAACTTAGTTAAGTTTAGAAATTTGATAGTGGCTGACTGAAAAACACACAATTTGAGTAGTTGAAGGTTCAATTTTCTAAGCTGGATTCCATGAGGAGCAAAATTGCAATTTTCTCGTTTAGATGTTAATTCTTGTTATTAAGTTTGATGGCTTGTGTCAAATGCAAAAGTTCAAATTTTATTAGAAGGTTATCACAATGTAGGCAGAATTTGAGGTGGTCTTAGCTGAGATGCAAATAAAGATTTTTCCAAAACAGCGAATGGTCAGAGCAAATCAAGAAACCTGCAATTCAATACTTCCTTGGCTGGTTTTGATTAGTAGTTCAAAACCAAGTGCCATGACAATTTTATTAGAAAATAATGTCAATGTTGCTTTATTTGAAAATTTATTGGCATTGATGATACACATTGGCTGTGTGTTTTGCTAAATTTTTAAGATGGTTTGGTTTTTAAACATGTCTATCATTATCTGTAAGAGTTTGAAATATGGGAAACTTCAAAAAGGATGTTAAAGATAGGGAGGGTTAAGAAAGGTCATCTTGAAGACCCAAAGGTATTTGAAAAATAAAAATCAAGATATATATGGTGGCAGGTCAATGGAAACTAACCGAGCAACTTAAGAAAAAATTCAAATTACTTAAGAAAAGGAGGAATTGCTCACCAGGAGGGAAAGAAGAAATTTGATTAAAAAGTGTTAATTAGTTATTGGTAGTAATGCTGTATAGAATATGACGATCATGATCATCTGCACGAGCGTCATTAAATTTATTCTGATCTACTTATCGTTCATTTTTGTTGCAATACTATATGGCAGGATGACCATTGCTCAAGAATCAAGATCCCTCCTAATATCCTGCTCTCATCAAGTTCAAACTGCATTTTCTGTTCCTATATTGTTAAACTATATAATATAAAACAAGGTGTAGCTGGTATTTGTCTTGTTATTAAGGAATGGCGTATTTTAGTATTTTTCATATGCTTAAAATTCTATCACTACCTGATATTGCTTGTATTTTGGTTGTTCTACTTCCTTGATGTTGTTACTGTTTCCTTGACTTTTACACTACTGTATTTCTTTTCTATACTATTGTGATTTGCATGCTTTCTTGGAGCCAAGGGTCTACCGGAAAGCTGCGTACCCCTATTTGTGGGATTACACTGGGTTTTTTGTTGTTGTTGTTGTTGGATGGATATTAACCATAAGAAAAGAAGAAAGAGGATGTGGGAGTCTCTTTTTGTTTCCTTTGTTTAGCAGGCAAAGGTTCAAAAGTATCATTTCATTGACAATCCATTATAACACCTGCATTTGTTTTCTTTTACAGTATAATGAAGTATTGGGCAAGGGAGCATTCAAGACTGTGTATGTTCCTCAACTTTGTCTTGTTTTCTTTCAGTGTTGTCAAAGGCGCGCTTAAGCCCTGAAGCGAGCTCAAAACATGTTGAGCGCTTCGCCTTGCTTTGTGGGAGCTTCAGTGTCACATCAAGGCTCTAAGGCATACTTTTCCTTGCCAATGAGTGTGATCCTGAAAAGGCGACACTAAACAATTGATATTTCACTTTATCGTAATTTTGTTTTTTCAATTTTTTTGTCCATATATTTGTTATTTATGCTTATAATTATTGGTCTTGGACTACATATACATATTTTTACTTTTTATTAGGTTGCGCCTTTTTTCATTATAGCACACGCTTTATTTGCGCTTTGCGCTTAAAGCCCCAATGGACCTTAGAGCGTTTTTGCGCTTTTCGCCTTTGATAACACTGTTTTCTTTTTGGTTTTCATTTTGATCTGAAATTGTTAGTCTTGTTCTTGAATTGTGTTTTTAGCTACAAGGCATTTGACCTACTTGAGGGAATTGAAGTTGCATGGAGCCGAGTGAAAATCGACGACGTGTTGCTGTCACCAGAAAGTTTGGGAAAATTATATTCAGAGGTTCATCTTCTCAGACAGTTGAAACATGACAATGTAATGAAGTTATATGATTCGTGGATTGATGACAAAAAGAGGACAGTTAACATGATCACCGAGCTCTTCACGTCCGGGAACTTGAGACAGTGAGATTTCTTGATAGTTTCTCATTTCATTCATTTCCTTATTATATTCTCTTAAAATTTTAATGTATTTCATGGATATAGATACCGTAAGAAGTATCAAAGTGTCGATATGAAGGCTATAAAGAATTGGGGAAGGCAGGTTCTCCAAGGTTTGGACTATCTCCATAGTCAGAACCCGCCTATAATTCACAGGGACTTGAAATGCGACAATATTTTTGTCAATGGAAATCATGGGGAAATCAAGATTGGCGACCTTGGATTGGCGACGATTATGGAGCAGCGTACTGCCAAGAGTGTTATTGGTATGGTTATTTCTTGTAGTACTTTTAGACAAGATTCAGAAATACTACCTTTCCCAGACTCCACTTGTGGGATTACACTGGATTTGTTGTTGTTGTCGTTGTTTTTTAACAAGATTCCTCCTGGAGTACTGACTTTATCTATTGCTATATAAAGGAACCCCCGAATTTATGGCCCCAGAGCTCTACGAAGAAGAGTACAATGAACTAGTGGATATATATTCCTTCGGAATGTGTATGTTGGAAATGGTAACTTTTGAGTACCCTTACAGCGAGTGCAAGAATCCGGCTCAAATCTATAAGAAAGTTAGCTCCGTAAGTTCAAAAATTCGATGCTTAAATTGTATTCTCTACTTTAAATTGTGTCATTCTGTCAAACTAAAGAACTTTCTGTTATCAGGGCATTAAACCTGCTTCCCTCGGCAAGGTTACTGATTCTGAAGTCAAAGGATTCATTGAAAAATGTTTGGTTGTAGCATCCGAGAGGTTGTCAGCCAAGGAACTCCTGAAAGATCCGTTTCTTCAATGTGAAAGCTTGAAGGAGTCGCTCCATAATCCATTTCAGTTACCTAAGCAATGTCCTAAATCTTTGAGTTTGTCGAAGCCTTTACCACATTCCATGGATGTGGATTCAGAGTATAACCAATCTATATGTACAGACTCTACTTGTGGAAGTCCTCGCGTTCCAGTTTTGGAATTCCAGAGATGTCATCAGAATAATGAATTTAAACTAATGGGGAAGAAGAATGACGATAACTCAATTTCATTGACCTTTCGAATCAGAGATCCTGCTGGTAAGTAAATGATTATCAATTCGTTCCTATTACTCAATCTGTCCTGTTTTATACGACGCACTTTTCTATTTAGTCTATTCCAAAAAGAATGTCATCTTTTAATATTTGGAAACTATTTGTTTTTAAGCTTTCTATTTTATCCTTAATGAGATCATTTTTTGCCACACAAATGTGTATAGCTTGTTTTAGATCACAAGTGCAAATGTCCTTTTTCTTTCTTAAGCTTCGTATCTAGTTGCTCTCTACCTTCACAAGGTAGAGGTAAGGTCTACGTACCAGGGGAAAAAAAAGTACCCCCATCATAGTGAATCTCCTTATGATTGGGATGAGGTAGATGCCTCCCAGCCGGGGGGCGGATCTACCCTCTCCAGACCCTACTTTGTGGGATTACACTTGGTTTGTTGTTGTTGTTGTTGTTGTTGTAAACTTCGCACCCAGTTAAACACCCTCACATAGGACGGAGGAAATAGTTTATTTTACTTTTCAGCATTGTGGAATCAGATATCATCTTCTTATTCCAAATATTTTGTTATTACAGGTAGTGTAAGAAACATACACTTCATTTTCTATCTTGATACAGACACTGCACCTTTAGTTGCAGCGGAGATGGTTGAACAATTGCAGCTAGCTGATCATGATGTAGCTTTTATTGCTGAGTTTATTGATTACCTAATAATGAAGATATTTCCAGCTTGGAATCCTTCCTCTGGAGACCATTCTACCGGAGGGAGAAGTCCAAGCAAACAACCTCGAGAAAGTTGCCTAACAGACTTGACCGGTTGCTCGAACAAGTCCATAGGTTACCAAGATGTTATTTCCGACTTCAATGTGGAAAGTCATGTACTTTCTCGAACTGATGAAGGTGATATGTATGTGAATTCAGATGGAACTTTTCATCATGTTACATTTGATTCGCCAATGCATTTGGCGCCCGTGGAATATGAGAACTCTCAAGAATCAGTTGTTTTTAAGGTTATGGCTGAAGGGAATTCATTTGGATGCTCTAACGATCATGTTAATGATGGAGCTTCTAAAAGTTGTAGTACAAGCATCTCGGAGATGGATTTCAAATATTTGTTCCACGACGATGAATGCACAATGCAGGAAAATATTGGTGATGGTGCAGAATGCATACCATCAAATGAATATGGCAAGGATCCAGATCTGACTTATATAGATATCGACAGAATTTCTGGAGGCATGAGTTTGTCCAGTGGTTCATTTTCCTCGTCAATTGAGAAAGATGAGGATACAAAGCTAAAATTGGAGCTCAAGGCAATTGAATTGCAGTATCAGGAATGGTTTCAAGAACTCTCAAGAATGAAAGAAGAGGAACTAGAAACTTGCAGGAAGAGATGGACGACTAAGAAAAAGTTGACAAGTAACTGAATGAGAGTGGCTGACAACCACTTTCTTCAAATATCCTAGTTTTTCTCATAGATAACGATTAGCTTTTCTTCTTTTACTACGCGTAACCAGGAGGTCACGAGTTCGAGCTGTGAAAATAGTCTCTAGCAGAAATGCAGGGTAAGGCTGTACAATAGGCTTTTGTGGTCCGGTCCTTCCCAGATATCATGCGCATAGCGGGAGCTTAGTACACCAGGCTACCTTTTTACGACGCGTAAATTTATAACTTGGATCGGTGGAGGATCTTGGTCACGTTTTAGACATACTGGAAATCACTTTATACGCGGATATTTGAGTATGTGAAGATCATATTAAGCCTATATAACTTTAGATAGTTGTATAGTTTTGTTTGTTTCCACCTTGACTCTGTTTTCACTTTTTCTTTTCTTTTTCTAAGTTGGCCATAGCTTCCCCTGTACTTTGCAAGAACGCAAATGTCATGGCAATTTAACTTGTAAATATATATGATTGAGTGCATCCTTAATTTCTAATCTGCAGTCTGTTGCTGGTTGTAAAAGAAGTAAGCGTGGTTAGGCTTACCTGTATGTAGTTAATGGTTGTATATGGTTTTGGCTAGGGGTGTCAATGGTTCGGTTCGGTCGCTTATTTTATAAAATTTGTATCATACCAATTTTTCGGTTATTCTATTATGTATAATCAAAATTAGACTTTTCGAAACCGTCTCAATCATGTCGGTTTCTCTTCGGTATCGGTACGGTTCGGTTAATTTTCGGTAATTTTTTTGAATGTCATCTAAAAGTCACTAGTAGAAGTAGAATGCAATAACATACGTACTTTTATAGGACTTAGCAAAGCTCTTTAGACGTTTTTACAATTTAAAAGGTGATGAATTAAGAAAACATGAAAGATGGCTAGTGTATAGATCCATCAACTATTCTACAACTACGTAAAAGAAACTAAGCAAATACAATAAAAATATAAATTACACGAGTAGAAAGATATTAACCAAGCTAGCACTCAAGAATAAAGTCTATAGAAGATTAAATATTCAAAAAGAAAAATCCAAATCGTGCGAAAGGAAATATATTCAATACATTGTAATTTGCTACTCATAATCGCTACAGTACCTTGTGTCTTGCTAGTGAATATGCTGGAAATAATTTAGTTTTAATAGGAGTAGCATAATAGGTTTGGGAATTGGGATTTTGAGTTTAATTACTTGTTGGCTTATAATTATTTCATAATTTCAAGGTCCAAGAAAAAATTCAGTGCTTTATTATTTTTAAACTTAATATATAAATATATTTTTCACATTTTAAATTTATTCGGTACGGTTCGGTATTTTTCGATTTATTTTCATAAAATAAAAAACCTACCCTAATTATCGGTACGGTTATAGATTTAGATAAAAATCTACGGTTTTATTAAAAACAACCTAAAAAATCGGTTCGGTACGATACGGTTCGATCATTTTTTAAATATCCATTGACACCCCTAATTTTGGCTGGATCCACACTTACACGTTACCTTGTGCTCGTCCGGCATTGAAGTTATTGATTTCTGGGGCCCTTGTGCATATGGCGTATTTTGAGGCTACTATTTAAATTCTATCCCCCGATAGTCGCCTGTTTGGCCAAGCTTCAAAAATCAACTAATTTTGAGAAGTGTATTTTTTCGAAAGTGCTTTTCTTTAAAAGTACTTTTGGTAAGAAACAATTTGCATTTGGCTAATTAGTTTGAAAAGTACTTCCAAACAATAATTAATGTCTGGTCAAGCTTTTAAAAATATTGATTATATCAATATCTATATTATTCTTGGCTTATTAAATGGTCATTTTTTACTTCTTGTCAAAATGCATACTGTGGCAATACACCATTTATGCAAAAGGAGAGACATGTATTTACTTCATTTTTTAGGTGTTTCTTTTAAAGGAAGAAGGTTATCTCTACCAAATGTTGAATTGCTCTTTGCTTTGTATTATATAATGCTTTAATAACGGGTTGTAACTTAAATTAATATCATTATTTCATGATCAACATTTAGTTAGTACGCCTGAAAATTATTTTTTTTATTTTGTATTAATATTTACATATTTCTTCAATGATATTGATGTATTTAATAATTTATTTACACTAATCGATATTAGTTTTCTTAGTCAAAGGTAAAAAGATTACAACTTCTTGTATCCTTCACATTTTATGCTTAACACTTAAAATATGGGTTATCCTATATGTAATACACGCATATTTAGAATAATAATATAAGAAATAACTTAGCTTGTTCAGTAACATTTTCCTTTGAAATTCAAATGCAGAGCCATTTTGATATATATTATTAGAATGTATTGTTGGATTTTGTTGTTTAATAACAAAAGAAGTGTGAATGGGAAATGGTGGGAAAAGAAATGAAGGGAAGTGAAATTTTGAATGAGTTCACTAATGCACTTTGTCCTTCATTGGTAGAAGGAAAGAAAATCTTTGTTTATATAAAGAGAAGCTCATCTTTTAGCTCTTAAAGAGCTAAGAAGAAGGCAAGCCTCGCGCCGTCGTCGTCGTCGCTCGCTCGGCTTCGGCTTCGGATTTTTCAATGATTGATTAATCTTTTTGGACAAAATTCTTTTCAAATATTTAATTAAGTGTGAATGGAAAATGGTGGGAAAAGAAATGGAGGGAAGTGAAATTTTGAATGAGTTCACTAATGCACTTTGTCCCTCAGTGGTAGAAGGAAAGAAAACCTTTGTGCATATAAAGAGAAGCTCATCTTTTAGCTCTTAAAGAGCTAAGAAGAAGGCAAGACTCGCGCCGTCGTCGTCGTCGCTCGCTCGGCTCGGCTTCGGCTTCGGCTTCGGGATTCCGGATTCGGATTCGGATTCGTCAATGATTGATTAATCTTTTTGGACAAAATTCTTTTCAAATATTTAATTAATTAATTAAATTAATTAAAGAAAATTCAATCCGGAATAACCCATGACCCGCGACCCGGTCCGGTCCAGCCCGTTTTTCTTTCCCGGATTATTTTAAATCTGTTTTAAATTTCCCGCAAAATTTCCAACATCCATGGCTGTTCTGAAACAGTGTCACACCTGTTCTAACAGTCATGGTTGTTCTGAAAGGTTGCAAACCTTTTCAAAAACAGCACCGAAATTGGCTATAAATACACCTTCAAATCGCAGAATATTTACTTACGAAATTTTCTGATAATCTTCTTCTTCTTCTTCTGCACAAAAATTCCAGTGTGTTTTGCAGCCTTCGAGTGGTTCGCTGTTCATCGGCGTTTTTGGTACCAATACTCCGGTGAGTTAAATCGTTCTATCCTGGGAGGATATATTCCAAAACCTCGGGTACTTGAGGGGAATAATTTTCCTAAGGACACACTGTGTATTCAGTAGGCTCGATTTGTTCCTACAACGTTTAAAAAAAATTATTTTGAAGTTCGAATACTGTTTTCAGAATTTATTTCTACTAACTTTCTGTTTCTGTTTTTCAGAAAGATTATTGTTTTATTTATTTACAGCAATACAGATTGATAACAATCTTAAGGAAATTAAATTTATTATATTCTGTATTCTGTCTGAATTTTACTATTCTGATTTGAAGATATAAAAACTTCATCAGGGTATTGAAATTCAGAAAACGATTTGAAGAACATAAAAACTTCATCGTTTTTCTGTAAAACAGTATATAAAAACATTAGCTGTTTTTATTACGCACTGTTTATTGATTACAGTATTATTTACTGTTTTGGTTTTGCCATTAATTGATTTCTTCTGTTGTTGACAGTAAGAAATGGCAAATAAAAATGGAAATCCTTCTGCGACTGTTGGTGTAACGACGATAGCCTCGTCAAGCTGCACTGCTGTTCCTCCGGCTGAGAAACCGGGGAAATTTTCCGGAACCAACTTCAAAGGATGGTAGCAAAGGGTGTTCTTCTGGCTTACCACACTTGGTATGCAGAAATTCACTAGTGAAGAGCCTCCAGTGCCTGCTGCGGACATGCCGGACAATGAAAAGTTCATGGTTGTTGAGGCGTGGAAGCAGGCAGATTTTCTTTGCAAAGGCTATATCTTAAGTGCTTTAGAAGATGACTTGTACAATGTGTACAGTGCAATGAATACTTCGAAAGAATTATGGGACGCACTTGAGAAGAAGTACAAGACAGAAGATGCATGCTTGAAGAAGTTCGTGGTTGCCAAGTTTCTAGACTATAAAATGATAGACAGCAAAACTGTGGGAACCCAAGTTCAGGAGCTTCAACTTGTTTTTCACGACCTTATTGCTGAAGGTATGGTCGTGAATGAAGCATTTCAAGTGGCTGCTATGATTGAAAAATTGCCTCCTTCGTGGAGAGATTTCAAGAACTATCTTAAGCACAAGCACAAAGAAATGAAGTTGGAAGATCTTGTGATACGTCTAAAGATCGAGGAAGACAACAAAACAGCCGAGAAGAAGTCTCGTGGAAATTCAACGATCATGGGAGCTAATATCGTTGAGGAGACTGCTCCAAAAAGTAAGAAGAGGAAGAGGTCTTCTGGACAAACTAAGGAGCAGAACTAAAAGAAATTCAAGGGCAGCTGCTACAATTGTGGAAAAGTTGGTCACAAAAGTCCTGATTGTCGTCTCCCGAAAAAGGATAATAAGAAAGGACAAGCCAACATAGTGGAGAAGAATAATGACATTGATGATCTTTGCGCAATGCTTTCAGAATGCAACCTAGTTGGAAATCCGAAGGAGTGGTGGATTGACTCTGGAGCCACTCGACATGTTTGTGCTGTCAAAGAAGCATTTGCGACTTACTCTACTGCTGGTCCCGAAGAAGAAATTTTCATGGGAAATAATGCAACAGCCAAGATTGAAGGTTATGGGAAGATATTCCTGAAGATGACTTCCGACAAGGTGTTAACAGTATGAATAAAATTTCAGCTTCTTCTTATTTATTGGAGTCAAATGATTTATGGCATATTCGTTTAGGACATGTCAATTATAAAACCTTGCGGAAGTTAATTAATTTAGAAGTATTGCCTAAATTCGAGTGTACTAAATTGAAATGTCAAATATGTGTTGAATCTAAGTTTGTAAAACATCCTTATAAGTCTATTGAAAGGAATTCAAATCCTTTAGACTTAATTCATACTGACATTTGCGATATGAAGTCGACACCATCTCGAGGTGGGAAAAAGTATTTTATTACTTTTATTGACGATTGCACTAGATATTGTTTTGTTTATTTGCTTAACAGTAAGGATGAAGCAATTGAAGCATTTAAGAAATACAAGAATGAGGTAGAAAATCAATTAAATAAAAAGATCAAAATGATTAGAAGTGATAAAGGTGGAGAATATGAATCTCCGTTTGCAGAAATATGTTCGGAATATGGAATTATCCATCAAACTACTGCACCTTACACACCTCAATCCAACGGAATTGTGGAAAGAAAAAATCGGACATTAAAAGAATAATGAATTATTTATTAATAAGTTTCGGATTACCGCAGAGTTTGTGGGGGGAAGCTATCCTTACAGCTAACCGAATACCCAACAGAGTACCCCACAGCAAAACGCAATCTATTCCATATGAATAATGAAAAGGAAGAAAATCCAACTTGAAATATTTCAAAGTGTGGCGGTGTCTAGCAAAGGTACAGGTTCCTTTACC